ATGAATGACAGTGAAGAAATGTGTGGGCTTTGTAGCTTGAACAGCAGTTAGAACTAACATTCCATTAGTGAGCCAAGAGGAAATGGAAAATTAAAACGGGAAATTTATATATTTCAATTGAAAATGATTTGCAGGATTTGTTAATATTGTCAATCACTGGTGCAAGAAAATTACGTATATACATTTTGGTTTTAAATTTCCAATCAGTACAATGTTAAAACTGAATTAATACAGTTAATTGTCATTGATATATGGTCATTAGTCCACAGACTAATTAACGATTTGGACCAACCAAATCTTCACCTGTACAGAACCGTGCACCTCAAGCTTGTTTACAAACTACACTTCAGTTTGTAAAAGAAGTTTGTTTGAAGAAGCAGCTATATAAATGAGGATTGTAATGAGTGTCAGGTTACTTGCTTTCTAAACACACAGCAATCCTCCAACAATTGTTTGTTTTTAAAAGAGTTCTTTTCTCATTTCAATCCACAATCAAAAATACAGAAAAATAAAAACAAAGACATGGTCTTTACAAAGTATGTCAGTGTTTGGGATTAAGGGAATAAAGTTTTAATTCCATATTATAGTTTAGGTGTTGATGAGTATTTGCCACTTGTTTTAAGATGAAGTTTCTGTTATAATGAACTGAGTATTTTAACTTCATAAAAACAAAAACCTGTTGGAAGTCACTTTTATTCAGGATAGCAATACAAAACAGAAGCAATTGACCATCTTGGTAATTGAATCCAGACATTTATATTAGTGATGTGACTGGTGGAATAGTAGGCTTTGATTATCAGTGCATTCCTCCCATCACAGGTGTAATAACATCAGAAATTACATGATCTTTTCATACATTTTGAACAAACTTTATGGGAAAAAACTACATTAGTAACTGCCATTAAAATAGTCTAGCATGTTGGTATTTCAATTTTTCCACAAAGCCTGGGGGATTATATTCAGTTTAATTGTTTGGCTGTGACAGACATATACTTGTATATTTAATCCATAGGTTTGTTTCTTTCACTGGAGAGCATCCCTTTTGGCGCTAATTTAGCTTGTTAGAAAAGTATCCGACTGATTTCTGTACGTCTGCCCCATAATAGGATTCCACCTATTCCCAAGTCACTAGCATGAATTGCTACCTTAAAGAGCTTAGTAAAATTTGGAGCAGTAAGGCTGGTTCATTGATCAAGATTACTTTCAACTTCTCAAAGATGCCTGGCATTCCTCTGACCACACTACCTTGGTTTTTGAAATAACTCCACAGAGTCATAGAGCTGCATGGCATGGAAACAGACCTTTCAGTCCAACTCAGCCATGCCTACTAGATATCCTAAATTAATCTAGTCCCAGTTACTTGGCCCGTATTCCTCTAAACCCTTCCAATTCATATTCCCATGTGCGATGCCTTTTAAATGTTGTGACTGTACCAGCCTCCACCACTTTCTCTGGAAGCTCATTCCATACACACACCTTAAACCTATGTCCTCTAGTTTGGACTCCCCTACATTGGGGAAAAGACCATGTCTATTCACCCTATCCATGCCCCTCATGATTTTATAAACCTCGAAAAGGTTACCCCTCAGCCTTTGATACTCCAGAGAAAATAGCCCCAGCCTATTCAGATCTCGCTATAGGCTAATTTCCCATCACTAGGTCACCCTTTATTTACACGTGGAGAGTCCTTGACACTGATCCAGCTCCCTCAGAGCTAGCTCTCACAGTGAACAGGGTGTCTGACACTCCTGTTCTTATCTGTCAGCCAGGACTCCCTGATTGGAACAGATTAACAGCCCCAATCAGGAAACTCATATTCTATGAAGTCCATCTGGCTGACCTCATTAATATCACTACAGTTTTTTTCTTGGAGAAAATCTATTAGTGAAGCAGTTGCAACACTGAAGATTAGAACAAACTTGTGATAGAAACTACGTGTCTCCTGAAATTTTTAAATTCCTAATTTAGTTTTAGGTGCAGAGAACTTGAAATGTTGCCGTCCTTGGCAGGATTTTTCCTTACCCTACTATATGCCCTAGGTAGGTTACTCACAACTTTGCAAATTCACTTATTGCAAGGTTTATCGTAAAATCACGATTGTAATTCTGACAATGCTTCTAGTTGTTCCAAATGGTCTTTACAAGTGTTACTATATACCAACACATTACCAAGGTGAACCATAGTTAAGAAGTCCAAGCTACCACTTGATTCTCAGTCTATGTTAAGTTTCTGGAGGATTTTTAGTCCAAATGGTATCACACTGCATTTGAAAAGTACAACAGTTTTCTTTAACTCTGGGTGCCATCCCTTTAATAAAACTAGTTTTAGAGTCATTGAGATGTACTGCACAGAAACCAACCCTTCGAACCAACGCATTGATCCCAAACAGATATCCTAAATTAATCTAGTCCCATTTGTCAGCATTTGGCCTATTTCCCTCTAAGCCCTTCCTGTTCATATACCCATCCAGATGCCTTTTAAATGTTATAATTTTACCAGCCTCCAACACCTCTAGCAGTTCATTCTATACATGCAGCACCCTCTGCATGAAGAGGTTGCCCTTAGGTCCCTTTTAAATCTTTCCCCTCTCATCATAAACCTATGCCCTCCAGTTTTGGACTCCCCCCACCCTGGAGAAAATGCTTGGCTATTTACCCTATTCATACCCACCATGATTTCATAAACTTCTATAAGATCACCCCACAGCCTTTGACATTCCAGGAACAATAGTCCCAGCCTATTCAGCTCTCCCTTTAGCTCAAACCCTCCAACCCTGGCAACATCCTTTGTAAATCTTTTCTGAACCCTTTCAAGTTTCACAACATCTTTCGTATAGCAGGGAGACCAGATTTGAACATAGTATTCCAAAAGCAGCCTAACCAACATCCTGTATAGTTGCAACATGACCTCCCAACTCCTATACTCTGAGGAAGGGTCACCGGACCCGAAACGTTAACTCTTGATTTTTTCTTCACAGATGGTGCCAGACCTGCTGAGCTTTTCCAGCAACTTCTGTTTTTGTTCCTGATTTACAGCATCCGCAGTTCTTTTGGTTCCTATACTCAATGCACTGATGAATAAAGGCAAACATACCAAACACCTTCTTCACTATTCTGTCTACCAGTGACTCCACTTTCAAAGAACTATAAACCTGCATCCCAAAGTCTCTTTGTTCAGCAACACTCCCCATGACCTTGCTATTAGGTGTATAAGTCCTGCCCTGACTTGCCTTTCCAAAATGCAGCACCTCACATTTATCTAAATTAAACTCTATCTGCCTCTCTTTGGCCCATTTGCCCATCTGATCAAGGTCCCATTGTTCTCTGAGGTAACCTTCTTCGCTGTCAACTATACCACCAATTTTGGTGTCATCTGTAAACTTACTAATCATACTTCCTATATTCACATCCAAATCATTTATATAAATGACAAAAGTAGTGATATTATTTATGTCTTTGGTTTTGTTTTGTTCAACAAGAATTTAGTAATGACACTGCAAACATGGAGGTCATAGAAAGATCTCCTTCACAAGGCTACATTACTTGAAATCTAATTGCAGAGAATTTTTAAAATCAAGTTCTCACGTTAAATTTACACCTTAATTATATAAAAATAACCTTTGCTAATAATTATTGTACTATAGGCACACATTGTTGCTACATTTGTAAGCCAAGTTTGAATCCAACCCAGACTAATGGGAGAAACATCTCTAAAGATTGCAAGAGTTCAGATGTTGTTATCTACATCATAGATAAATCAGCTTCACTCCCAGTGACAAATAAAAGAGCTAATGAGCAAATAATTAATTCTAGTTTAAAAATAATGTTTTGTAAGACATTTGGTACTGACAGTCCTATCAATACAATCTTCCAAGCAAGCAATTCAGAATTTGGTTGAATTATCATGTTACAGTTTTAATATGACTGGAGAGCTCCTCCTGCTTTGTTTGGAGTTGGGTGGGAGGGCGGTGTTTCCCAATACATATTGGATTTCAGCTTTCACTTGAGCTTCTTTTTGGAATCTAATAAGGATGCTGTTTGATATTGGAGGATTATCCTGCAGCTACATCATATAAAACTAGAGTTGTACAGCCTGGTTTACATCTACAAAATCCTTTAAATTCAGTTTGTTAGGTCTTTTTCTTTTTCAGCCACTAAATATGAAAGCATGGTATCTAACCTCTAGCTCAGTGTTGGCTACCCAGATAGTAGATGGTTCAGTTTGGGAATTGTCTAGTCCTCTTACCTCATCCTTACTAGACCCTTTCATCCTCCACTGTCCTTGCCACCTGACATACTTGCACATATATCCTTACGCTGACAACAGTATTTTTTTTAATGTATCTGCTTTCTAATTAACCTGTTTAGTAATGTTATTACATGTCTCTGCAGCAGGTGGGTCTTGAATCCACATCTCTTTACCAAGAGTTAGGAATGCTACCATTGCACCACAAGAACAATATAAATGAGGGCCAGCAGGACTAAAGATATTTTCTAATCAAACTAGTTAGAGATGTTATTACACAGCTCCAGAGCAGGTGGGACCTGCCCAGGTATCCTGACTTCACAGCACGGACACTACCTCTGTGTTACAAAAGCCATTCCTGATAGTGTTTTTTTTTTCTTGTTTTATATCCAGAGGTGCTCTGAATAACTGAACATTTTCTCCACAACACTAAATCACCTACGCTTTTTTTGCATTAATTTCCAATTTCCTAATTTATGTGCAAAACCAATTAAGGGCTATGCAAACCAAAGGCAACAGAGACTGACTTTTTTTTTATATACCTGACAGTGGTATTGGTTCAACATATTGATATGTTACAACTTTTATTTCTGATAAGCTGGGGTGTCAATTAAATAAGTTATGATTGTCTGAAGATGGGTCTAGGCCTGAAACATCAGCCTTCCTGCTCCTCTGATGCTGCTTGGTCTGCACCTTGTTATCTCAGATTCTCCAGCATCTGCAGTTCCTACTATATCTTATGACAATAGCCTGTGTTTCAAGTGATGTGTTTAATTGCTGCTTTGTACAAACTGCACAAAGATAACGACAGTGGAGATAGAGGTCACACAACGGCAAACTAGCCAGCACACTAAATACAATTGCATCGTTTCAAATATCCCCTTTTTTACATAAAATGAAACACATGCACTATCATTTACAGTTATGAGTCATGCAAGCCACCCAATTTACATGATCACAAAGAAAATGATCAATCATTAACAGTGAGTTAATTCCAGTCAGTTCAACTTTTGTAAGTCTCTGCACATGCATTGCACCGATAATCATGCAGGTCTCCCAGTGGTCTACATGCATATTGTTCATGGCTGTTCTCTGATATCTGCTCGTTGCTAGGTTGATATTCCTTCTTCAGGAAGTGTATTTCCTGTGGGAAGTGCTGTTACCACTGTAACTGTTGTTGGTGATTCATTTCTGTTGCTGGTGACAGTGGACCTCTGGGACTGATGATATTCTGTGCTCTATGCCAGTAGTGAGACCAGCAACAGAAGTGCCTGCAGTGACTGACCAGCTTCTCTAGGTGTTAGGATGTGTCTGCAGTTCTTAGAACATATTTGGTTGTTTCCATTCACCTTGTACATTCTAGATGAAAACTGCTCAGCACAAGTCCCAAATTGCTATATGGGCCGACACTTATTGAGCTTTCTGACTGGCTATCCATAGCTCAGTTCTTGTAAATGACCTTCTGTTGTTTCACCTTGATTTTTTCATTCATTTCTGGTTTGTAAGTCTTTCTGCCGTATGTGGTTTGGGTATGGTGTGACATTAATCTTTGGATTGGACTATTTTTCATGCCTTCAGTAAATGTATTCCTCCAATCACGAGTTGTTTGCATAAATTTGTGTTGGATTTCTTCTTGGTGCCTTTGGTGATTTTCACGGCTGCCTCTGACTTTCCACTAAATTTGGTATAGTGTGGTGATTATGTATTGTATTGAATTCCCCAACCCTTTAGGAAGTGTGCGAGCTATTGTTACTCATCACAATTATTGAATGTTGTAATAACTGAAGTGTGCTTTTAGGCATTCTACAACCTCACTGGTAATCGTTGCTGTCAGCTGGTGTAACTCCCAATATTACCTCATTTGACTCACCCAGAAATTCAAGATTATCTGGAACTCACTGCCTGAAGACATGGTAGAGGTGGGATACGACACAATATTTATACTGTAAGATTTGGGAGTAAAACTAGGGCATTCAGTCTATTGAGTCTGCACTGCCACTGAATGAGACCATGGCTGATCTGATCATCCTCGACTATACTTTCCTGCCTTATCCCCATGGCCTTGATTTCCTTAATGATTAGAAATCTGTTTATCTCAGCCTTGAAAATGCTTAACAACCCAACTGTCTGCAATGAAGAATTCCACAGATTCACCACCTTCAGAAAAAAACTTGTCATCCCATTTAAATAGGTCACTCCTTATGTCTTCTGTGACTCTTCCACAAGGGGAAACAACCTCTCTGCATCTACCCAGGCAGACCCTCTAATGACCTTGTATGTTTCTATAAAATCTCCTTTCATTCTGCTAAACTTCAGTGAATACAAAACCCCAACCTACTCAATCTCTCCTCATGGGAAAATCCTTCCATACCCACGATTAATCTAGTGAAATATCTCTGGATTGCCTTCAATGCCAGTTCATCTTTCCTTAAATAAGGGTACCAAAATCATGCACAGAATACCAGCGGTGGTCTGACCAGTGCCTTACATTGTTTTAGCAAGACTTTATATTCCAGTCTTTGAAATAAAGGAATGTATTAGGTGAAAACTTAAAATGACATAGCATACAAGGCTACGAGCAAATGAAATTGGACTAGAAGGTAGATAAGCTGCAGTGAAGGGCCTCTTTCCATGCTGGAAAGTCAGCATCATCCTAGAGGACCCCAGGAGTGCTCTACATCAGAGATAGGGTCACCATACCTCAGGTGAGGGCAGAGTTTGAGCAGAGTCCTTCATGGTAATCTCAGCCAGTCTAACAATTGAACTCATGTTTTGGCATCAATACTTAATGACTGTAACTATACGATTGTACTTGCTAACTTCTTCCTTGCTGTTTCTTTCAGCAGTTGGCTCTTTTACAGCATAGGAAATACATAGGTTTTCAGTTGGACAATTCTTCCTGCCTTTCTTGCAGCTGGTTTGTAGGTGACTCTGTTACAGCTCTAAAGATGCACAAATTCCCAACACCATGTTTCAAGGGAGGTGTTTAATGGTTGTCACAGACAAAGGTGACACAACAGAGGAAGAGCTTACATGACTAGGGCAAGCCAGCCAGTACCTTGAGTACAGTTCGATGTCTCCAACAGTTGAACTGCTGAACAAAAGAAAAACAAAAGTACTGAGGATGCTGGAAATGAGAAAGAAAAACAGAAGTTGCTGAGAAAACTCAGCAGGTCTGGCAGCATCTGTGGAGAGAAAGCAGAGTTCATGTTTTGGGTCCAGTGACCCTTCTTCTGAAGTCAATGTAGCCAGGAAAAAAATTGGTATAGAACATAGAACAGTACAGCACAGTACAGGCCCTTCGGCCCATGACGCTGTGTTGACTTATTCTCCTACTAAGATCAAACTACCCTACATTTTACTATCCTCCATGTGCCTATCCAAGAGTCGCTTAGAAGTCTTTAAAGTATCTGACTCCACTACCACTGCCAGCAGCTCATTCCACACGCCCACCACTCTCTGTGTAAATAACCTACCTCTGACATCTCCCCTATACCCTCCAATCACCTTAAAATTATGTCCCCTCGTAATAGTCATTTCCACCCTGGGAAAAAGTCTCTGGCTATCCACTAACTATTTCTCTATATGTTGAAGATAGAGTGGCAGGACAGGCAGCGAGTAAACGATAGGTGGAGATGATACCTAGAGAGAGAGAGAGAACAACAGTTGGACAGAAAAATGAACCGGTTAAGGTCAGCCTGGGGAATCAATAGCTGCTAAATTGTAATTTTAAAAAAAATTAACCTATGTATCTAATGAACCTGTTCAGAAATGTTATCACACACCTCTGAAGTTGATGGGACTTGTACCCGGGCCTTCCAGTCCATGGACTATTAGTAGTGGCAATGGGTTGTTTGTGGTTGCAGCTCATGTGATGACAAGGTCTGGCGTGTGCGTGGGTGGGGATGTAGGAGAAGGGGTCGGGCCCTGAAATTACTGAGTTCATTGAGTCCAAAAGGTTGCAGGGCACTCGAAAAGAAAGTGAGGTGTTTGCTTTTCCAGCTTGTGCTGAGCTTCCCTGGAGCAGTGCAGCAAGCCTGAGGCACAGATGTTGACCGGGTAAACAGGATAGTGTGGGCCGAACGGTCACCCACACTGTGCGGGCCGCCTCCAACATTCGGCGCTTAAGCCAAGGCTTCATCCGGGACTCAGTTCGACGTCACGGGTTCCCACAATGCACCTGGAGGCTGCTAAGATGGCGGCGCCTGTGGTGTGGGGCAGCCCGCTTTTGACCCTCTTCAAGAGACCAAGATCCTTCCTTTCGGCCGCCGGGAAGGCTGCAGTTCGAGTCCGGAGCCGGTGTAAGAGTGGCAGGACTGTCTTGCAGCTTCATCGGCGAGGCATCTTTAAAGACATCTTCCCAGAGGGCGGCGACCTGCCCCAGCTCCTCGAATCCGGGCCCCAGACCTTGTACTGCGGCTTTGATCCCACTGCCGACAGCCTGCATGTTGGTAACCTGCTGGCTGTCATCGGCCTGCTGCACTTTCAGCGGGCTGGCCACCGCATCCTGGTGCTACTGGGAGGAGCCACAGCTCGGCTGGGTGACCCGAGCGGCCGGATCAGCGAGCGGGAGGCCGTGAGTGCGGACACGGTGCAGAAGAACGCCCGGGGCATCCAGGAGGGGATCCTCAGCGTCTTCCATAACCACCGTTTTTGCTTCTGCAGTGATGCCGAAGCCGCCAATTTGGGGCCGCTCAGTATTCTCGATAACTGGTCTTGGTATAAGGAGAAAGAGATAGTTAGCTTCCTGGATACAGTGGGTCGACACTTTCGGATGAGCACCATGTTGAGCAGACACAGCGTACAGTCCCGACTCAAGAGCCCAGAGGGCATGAGTTTGACTGAGTTCACTTATCAGATGTTTCAGGCATACGACTTTTATTATTTAAATCAACATCACAATTGCAGAATCCAACTGGGAGGGACAGATCAACTGGGTAACATGATGTCTGGATACGAATTTATACACAAGTAAAGCACATCTCCCTTAAGTATATTCTTTGCAAGTATCTCAATTTATTGTTATTTTTCGATTTTCCCAATCCTTGCTTTTTTCACATGTTGAATCTTCGAGTGATGTACATTTCTTTTAAAACAAACTAATGGTTCTTTAGGGTGACTGGACAAGACGTTTATAGCATCATGGTACCACTTGTAACCAGTTCATCAGGAGACAAGCTGGGAAAAACTGCAGGAAATGCAATATGGTTGAACCGAAACAAGACTTCACCCTTTGAGTTCTACCAGTACTTTGTCAGGCAACCAGATTCAAATATAGAAAGGCAAGTTCTTTCTACTTATGTTTCAGAAAGTTCTTATCGTCTGATGCAAGGCATAATACGATTTATTAATTTAGGCTTTTTTTAGAAATCCTTGGAAATACCAGATTTCTTTGCCAGGTGAATAAATGATTGGATGGTTTGATTAGTACAGTTGCATTGTGTCTGTGCTTTTTCATCATTATTTTCCATGTATTATGTTTTTAAAGTGATAGTTAAATTATTTATAGGTAAGTATCACTTCTAAAATATAAACAAAAACATTACCAGTATTTCAAATCTACCTTGTTGTGAAGGAAGGAGTCCAATTATGACTATTTTTCTTCTGATCTTGTAAGAATATCAATCTGGAGCTTTCACAGTTTATGCTCTCACAGACATTCACCATCACTTGTAATTTGTTAAGAGCCACAGTAGCATGCATGATCTGCTTCTCAGTTCAGATGTAAGACGATAAAAAATGGGAACAAGAGTAGGCAGTTTGCCCTTCAAGCCAGCTCTGCCTTTCTAAAGGATCATGGCTGATTCAACCTTCTATGTGTCCACTTTCCTGCCCTTTCCCCATAACCTTCAATTCCCCTATTGATTGAGAATCAATCTATCTCAGCCGTAAAGATACACAAGAACTCTGCCCCCACAGCCCTCTGCGACAAGGAGTTTGAAAGATTTAACTCTCCGATAGAAGAAATTCTCCCTTATTTTATTCTTAAATTGGTTTCCCTTTATTCTGTGATTATGCCCTTTGGTCCTGGATGCTCTCGAGGAGCAACATCCTCTCAGCATTTATTCTGTCAATCCCGTTAAGAGTCTTACTTAAGAATTACAATGTGATCACTTCTCGTTCTTCTTAACTCTGAGTAGAGTCCCAACCTGTTTAGCCTTTGCTCATTAGACAATCCCTCTGTACCAGAGATCATCATTAGTGAACCTTCTCTGAACCGCCTTCAATGAAATGATATCTTTCCTTAAATAAGGGGATCAAAACTGCTCACAGTACTCCAGATGTGCTCTCTCCAGCATCTTGGACATTTGCAGTACGACTTCCCTACTCTATATTCTGACACCCTTGAAATAATTCCATGAACTTTGCTGCTTACCTGCTGCACCTGTTTGCTAACTTTGTGTTTCATGCACAAGTATTGCCAAGTTCCTTTGTGTTGCAGCTTTCTGCAGTTTTCCTCCATTTAAATAACTATTCTTTTCCCATTAAATTGAGGAGACCAAACCTTGTGACAATACTAATTTGAAGATTTAGGAGCCTGCACGAGCATTTAGGGAGATGACTGCTGATCTGATTGTGGCCCCAATTCTACTTTCCTGCCTCTCTTTCCACTCTTGCCCAGCTCAAAACTGTTTGCTCCCTTGTTGATCAAAAATCTGTTAATTCAGCCTTGAATATACTAAATAACCCAGCTTCTCCTGGTCCTGGGGAAGAAAACTCCAAAGATCAATGAGGCTGTCAAGAAGAAATTCCTCCATCTCAGTCTTAAATGGGAAACTCCTGGTCTTGAAACTATCGTTTTGATTCTCCCATGAGTGGAAACATCCACAGTAACTACCCTGTCAGTTAGGCTAACTGGCCTATTTCCTAGTTTCCTATTTTCTTCTCCCTCTTGTGTTGAATAGATGTGTTTCATTTGAAGGTTTCCAAACTGTTGGGATCTTACCTAAATCTAGGGAATTTTGAATGATTACAATCAATGCATCTACCATCTCCGAGGGCACTACTAAGATCCTAGGATGCAGGCATCATATCCAGGTGACACATGACCCTTTAGTATCATTAGTTTTCCTATACTACTACTTGCAGTTGTATGATTTTCTTAAGTACCTCTCTCCCTTGTGCCTCCTCGCACTTGGTGGACTCGTCTTTCACCTATAGTGCTATGCACCGCTGTCCTTAATGAGATGTCTTTGCCTTGCTTATGATTATTGTGTTGTTTACTAATTATTCGAAACATAAACTTGCAACAAATGTCATCTCTCTTTTGAGTGGCCATCAAAAAATGAGGAACTGCGGATAATATTTTGTTCTTTTCGACTTTGTTTGCTACATTTGAATTTTTTTTGGGGAGCAAGTGCCTGACGTTCAGTAAGAATCCTTTCTTCCTTTTTGTATTAGAATCTGGGCATGAACATGTAGTTTGGTGAAAAGAATGTCTACATTTTTATCCTGGCCCCCTCCTTGTCCCTAGTGGAGTGTGAAATGTCCTGTTTTTAATACATATATGTAGCAATGCAGGGAAGGTTATGAACTTGAAAGTTGGACATCAAGTGCAACTTGCCTTGGAGCCTGTTACAACAGGCTGCTTCCATGTACAGTAATATGTATTCTTAATGGAGACATGGTTTTATTTTATAAATTATATACATCAATTATGTTCTTTCTACCCTTAATCAAACAGCACTTTTGATTTCTTCAGGTATCTAAAACTTTTTACCTTCATCCCACTTCCTGAGATTGAAAGCATCATGGACATCCACAGAAAAGATCCAGGAAAGCGACATGCCCAGAAACGACTAGCTGCAGAAGTGACCAAATTGGTTCATGGTAAAGAAGGACTAGCGACTGCCAAAAGGTGAGTCTTGAGACTAATGTATCAAACCCTTAAACCAGAGATTTAGTTCAATCAGGCTTTGTTCCTACAACCTTGAAGTATTAAACGCTGGTGGCTACAAGGAAACAATAATGATGAAGTTCATGAATATTAAAAAAAACTGTCTCTCCGTGTGGACAAGGTCAAAAATGACACAACAACAAGTTATAGTCCAACAGGTTTATTTGAAAACACAGGCTTTCAGAGCCTGGCTCCTTCTCCAGGTGTTAGAGAGAGACAGATGGCATCAGACACAGAATTTACAAAGTAGAAAATCAAAGTGTTATAGAACTGATGCGAATGTATTGAACAATCCTAAAATGGCTGCTAAATCTATAACTAGTTAGGGAGGAGATGCAGGTTTCGATTGATTAATATGCAAATCCCAGAATTTATTTCAAGTCACTGCCCGGAGATAACTAAAGGTTTTATTAGTATACCAGAGGAGACATCTCCAGTCAGACCATGCATTTTAGGTATGAGGCCTTGTTTAGAATCTGTGTTTTAACTTGGAGTCAGACTGGTTTTATTTCCAAAGTAGGAATTTATAAAATGCCTTATTGTCTACAAATTGTGTGGTTTTGAACAAAATAGAATGCATCTACAATTACAAATCAGCAAATCCAAATTCAACCCATAAATTTGTGTCTGTGTGTGTCTGTGTGTGTCTGTGTGTGTCTGTGTGTGTCT